AGACTATGTTTGGTTGCATGCTCAAGCTTCTTAATAGTTACTGGTGACACACAGGGAGTAGCACTGGGTCAACAAGCTACGAGTCTTTCTGACACAAAAAGAAAAAATGCAGCCTGCAAAATAAACACCTTTCTTTTCAAAGCTGATTTTTTTTTGTCTCTGAAAGACTTGCTTCCTATTGTGCAAGCTTCATCTTCCATGTGCAGGAAAGGCAGCAAGGCAGAGGTCATTTTTACAACCAGGCTGAAGAATATTACACACTGTCCACTAGCCAATTCTATTGACCTCTGACTTCTCCATTGTTTGGTGATCCTGAGTGTGAAAGTGAACTGACTTTAACTGATTCCGGCAGAGGCCACAGAGCTGTCCAAGCAGACTTCCTGCTAACTGGAGGTTGACAAGAGGAAATGCCATTTTTAACCTTTATCTAATCAGGAAGGTGGAGTAACACATTCTTATTTTTACAACTACATGTACAGCTTAGGAAAAGGACAATGCAAATGTGCTTTTCTGTACCGTCGTTTAAAAAAAAAAAAAACCTTTCAGAGTTCATTTAATTTAACAAAACACTAAAAATGATTGCTGCCATAAAAGTAAAACTACAGTTAAATCAAAGGTTTTATAATTAGCTGTTTCTAACAGTTAAAATGTCAACATTTAAGAGGTTTCAAAAACTTCAGAAACACACAGCCTTAAAACCAATCTGAGCAAAATATCAAAGCACTACACTATTATATTAACTTTAAAATCGGTAAGTCACACTTACAACAGCTACTGATGACTCATAATGCATTCCTAAATTACTCTCAACATCTGCCAAAGAGGAACAGTGGTCACAAGTTGATCCGCTTCATTAATCACTGTATACAAGACTGTGACTCTACAAGTCATCTGCTTATCAACACTACAAATGACATATTACACAACCCTTCTACTACATAGTCCAAGCTTTACTATAAACAATAATATAAGCTTCACAATGAATGTTTTGGCTAGGGCCACTGTGCTGGACTGCATGACACTGGTTATTGTTCCTGTTACTTTGTCTCCCCTTCTTTAGACTAGTCAGGCAGGTGGTGACATAAACATTAAATAACACTAAACAAAACCTCACATTAAAGTAATTACATTAAACTAAATTCTCACCAAAGCTGAGCAGTCTGATCAGGAAGAAGGTCCGCTAACACACACTGAGCCATTCAGATGCCTTAGTCTGAAAGGGATATTACTTACTTTAAAGTTAAAGCCCCTTTTCAAAACCACCAATGAAATGATCCTACTGTCGGGTATTATCTGTGTATCCAAAGCCGGAGAGCCATAGAGCTCCATCGTTGTCCAAATACAGTTGAAAACACATCAGTGAGCCACGCTGTTGTTTCTTCATTCCCAAGACCATGGGCACTGTGATTCCGCCATGCTGGTACTAGCACAAAAAAATCTATGGCTCAAAATATTCCCCTACAAATACACTATTTGCTCTCGTTTGACAAATGTTTGCTTAAAACTATGAAATTAATGATCAGTAATGAAATGATATAGCTGTGACCCTTTTAAAGATTTAATTCATTAGAAGAAACCAATGGGCGCAGGGCTGAAAGCCACATACATGAGTCAGACAGTATTGAGAGAAGAATGACTGCTGCTGTACAGTTTGATGACAGTAACAAAGACATTGAATATCACCAGCCTTATTCTATAAAGACAAGCATGTGTGCGTGAAGCATCACTTTTTTCGTGACACTGGAGCACTGTGATTACTCCACTGCGGAGTTATTTGGAACTTTTAAAGCAGCGTAATGACCTGACATCTGAACAATCATTTGATGCACAGAGAAATTTGACTTCCTTCCTATTATAAGCTAGAAAACATCATGTGTCTATTGTATAATCAATCATGTGTCTATTGTATAATCAAAAACAGTGATGTTGAGTGACTTTGCATTTTCTGCCCATCTTCAGTAGCGACTCTCTTTGACTTATAAAGGGCTTGGGTAATATATGACAGTTTTGTGAGTCACATTTCCCTCAGCTAGTAAACAATATCTATTTTCTGTTCTTAAACAGAAGAGTACTGTATGGCCATTGGTGAGGTAAATTCCGGTTATGTTGTACATGACTCCTAAAATGCACTCTGCAACAATAGCTCTGTGATTTGAGAACTAGGAAGTGCAGCTTCACAATGAATAAGCAAAAGTTTGAAATAAACTGGGCTTTTCTAACCTGTGAAAACCTGCGTCAAACTGTCCTAACATTTGTAAATCATCCTGTCAATTGCTTGGTGTTTCACTGCACAATCATGCTCTTCTAGCTAGATTAGCACCGGCGGTGTTCAGTGTAGACTAAAGGTCACAGGCTTCAGTACAAAACCTGATTCTGTTATCTGCTGCTGACGCTGTTAGCAAACTTAACTCATACTTGGAGAGCATAGTTTACATTAGCAAATGAGTCAACAGTGGCAAGTCAAGTTCCTGTATGTATTTCTTGACCAAAAGTCATTAATTACACAAAATATATCAAACAATTCAATCATGCAAGCTGAAATTGACTAGAAAAGAAGGGACTAGTATTATGTGACTCGATGTCAGTATGTCAAATGAATTGTCTCAATATCAAAATGTTACGCGACATTCTGCAACGGCATTATTAGGCATTATGAAACTCTAAATAATGAATAATAATTTTTAACTATTTTCTCCACCAAAGAAGATGAACTGTGAGGGTAAAGGAACCCTAGGTCACCCACTGACCCACCTCTGCGTAGGATGGTGATTGGAGCAGCGCTGGAATGAGAGCTGCTGCTCGTCAGATGAGGGTGAGTGGTGCTGTTACTCTGACCGTGACGTCCTGGAGGTATGGAGCTAGGTTCTGTTGCGGCTCCCTGGCCAGAGCTGGGCTTGTTGACCGTGTTCTGGAAATCTAGGAACTTCAGCTCCTTGATATCCATGGCACTAGAAGACACACAAGTTACTGACAAACTGCGTTGCTAGGCTCTCGGCTGTGCTCTAAACTTAGATTTTTACACGTGTGTTGGCATGCCGAAATATAATACAATCACACACGGCCTGTGCAGTAGTTAGAAAATTGTAATCTGCATCTAGAGCTGGATTCTGAAACAAAAGACACATAGTGACAGGCAATGCTGATATTTATTTGGATTTACCTCCAAATAATTTCATCCAAATAAGTGTACTAGATTAGAAAAAAAACTCGTGCAGCTGTTTTTAAAAATTCCTGGATCTAACTAGCATTAAAACTGATTACGTTCATCTGCCCTTTCCACCAAATACCATTGAGTCCCTTTTTTCC